AGGGACAAGCGGGCCAGAGGGAAGCAGGGGTGGGGAAAGAAGCAGCCAGGGCCCCAGTGCAAGGCAGCCCCTCCCACAGCTCCTGCCCTGCAAGACCCTTACCCACCCCAGCCCAGCCCCACCCCAGCCCAGCCCCACAGCCTCTTGTGCTTTCATCTGTCTGAGGACTCACCAAACGGTTATTCTCGAAGACATTGTCCTTGGAAAGTGAATCGAAATCTCTGCAAGAGGCAAAGGGGAGGAGGAGCACTGACGAGGTGACTGGACAAAGGAAGGGGCAGGTGGGGTGACCTCACCCCAAGGGGAGGGGTCTGTGGACTGGCCAGGAGGAAACTGAGGCAACAGCACGTGCCTGGAGGACTGGGCCTTCCGGTGGGGGCACAGGCTGAGCTCCTGGCACCCACGCGGAGGATGCAGATCACTCGAAGGGGGTAGGGCTCAAGTGCAAGCTTCCAGGTTTAGATCCCTGACCTCACTGCAAATCAGGATGCCCTTCCCCAGGAAGCCACATCCTGGCCAGCCCAGGACAAATACTTGTAAGAACAGGGACATCCGTGGGTCGAGGACCTCGCGCCAGTGCTGTGCGGAGCTCCCGTCTTGAATTTACATTGTTTTCAACTCTGCCTGGCTGGCATTTACCCCGTTTCAGGTGAGAACACTGAGGCCCGCAGAGGGGAAGCCAGCCGGCCCCGGGAACCCACATTCCTGGTCCTCGTACTGCACGTCTCAAACCTGGAGAAGCCACCCCAACATGCTGAATCCCAGCCCAGCCCGAGGATGGCTGCTTCTTAACGGGGCCCGGACCAGAACAAGTCTGAACCGGACTGGAAACAGAACAGCCTCCAGAGCGGCTGGCAGACACTGACCGGCTGGCTGCCCTGCTGGGCCACTCCGGGGCCCCGTCTCCTGGGGGAGCGGCGAAGGCTTTCCCAGTTTCTAAGCTGAGACAGGTGAGAGGCAGCAGGGCCAGCCTGGGGGACCCTGGAGGGGACAGCTGGCCAGCCTGCCGGCTTTATTTATCCCCCTCGCCCCCTCCCGGCTCCAGGCTGCTAGAGTGGCTGAAACCGGTGGAGGCAGCCCAGCCTTCTTGCTGGCAGCCTCCTGGGTGCACCGCCCAAGTGGTTGCCCTTCTATGGGTGAAAACTGCAGCCTGACTGCCCGATGCAGTGGTCAGAGGCTGGAGCAGGCAGCACGTCCTCCCAGGCCCCGGCCGGGGCTCTGCTCCTCCAGGCTGGTGGGGAGGACTGGCGGAGTCTGCGCTGGGTAAAGGGCAGGCCTCACAGACAAGGGAGAGGGCAAGCACACCCCTCCCCTAGCCCTCGGACCCCTAGCCTCTCCAAGCAGAGTCCAGGTACAGTAAGCTGGGAACCCCAGAAGGGAGGTGCCCCAAGGTTGGATGGACTGGACAGAGGGGAGGTGGCTGTGTATGAGCTTCAGCCCCCTTTTGCCACCCCCTGGCCAGGCTACTTCCTTCTCCCCTCAGCTAGGTCCCTAACTCCCCTAGCTTTGCCACTGCCTAAGAGCATGACCCTTAGCAAGCAATGTGACCTCCTAACCCTCAGCCTCCTGGTCTGTGATGCTGTGAAGGGGGTGGGGGGCACCAGCAGAAGCGCCCAAGACAAAGGCTTGTTCCCGGACCAAATGAGACAAAGCAGCTTGTCTCGGCCACTTCTTCCAGTCTCCCCAGCAGAGTTCTTAGGAAGCTGGGCTTTTATTCCCCCTCTGTCGCCAACACTCTACCTGGTACATAGGCCCCGGTACTCAGTAGGCACTCAATAAATGTTTGTTGAATGA